AGGTGTGTGCCACTGTACTCGGCTTCTCTATCTATCTATCCATCTATCCATCTCTCTCTCTTTCTTTCTCTCTCTCTCCATTCAACCATCACTTATCTATCATCTTTTTATCCATCTATTGATTTATAGTCTTTGATGCTTTTACGTTCTATCATTTATCAATTATCATTTATCATCTTTCTTTTTTTCTATATATTCATTCATTCATTTTTCTATATTATTTTATTGGTGCATTATAGTTGTACATAATAATGGGATTTGTTGTTACATATTCATATAGATACACAATATATCAGTATAATTTGGCCAGCATCACTTGATTTTGTTCAATTAGACATTTAATCTGCTGGGTTCAAAAAAGAGGTGATTTCATAATTACTTTTAAAAATCAAGACGCTCAGTCTCTGGAGCTTTAACCAAATGCCTGCTCCCATGATTATTGCAGAGTAAGCTGTACACAGGTTTGCTAAAAGTTCTACCCTGAAGGAAACAATCCTCTTAAAATTCAATGCTGCACAATATGAAATAATGCCATTAGTCTAAACCTTAGACTTCAGAGTCAGGTGGGAAACTCGGAACTGAAATGACTACGTTCTACCTCCGTGTCACACTCAGCCTAGAAATGCATCCACAGGAGGTGCATGGATGACTACTACATCATTGTCATGGCAAATCACGCTGCTTCTCAGGCACCCGTCATGCCAGAAGATCTCAAGAACAGAGAAAAAAGGAGCAAAGGAGATGTGTTCAGGCAAGTTGGTGTGGAGAAAGCCTCTTTCTCTCTCTTGTTTTTTTTTTTTTTAAAGATAGAAAGACTTTCTTTGAGATAAAGATTAAGCAATCATCTGAAATGAGCCTCCTCATTTGATTTGAGAATCAGCAGAGAAAGTATTTTTTGAATTTAAGATTATCAGAAGTCCATATTGAAATAAAGAATTCCTACAAATTCTACTAACCATTGATGAATTTGATACTGCTTACAAGACAACAGGAATCTTTGCGACAACTGCCAACAAGATGTTTTGGGGAACAAGAATTTTATTACCAGACCAAAAATTGAAAACATGAGAAACTGTGTGGTTGTTAAGATATATCGAAAGTCAAAGCAAAATAACAGCTAGAATTCTTAAAAGCACTTTCCTTCTCAGCAGATCTCTTGGGTCCATCAAACACATGGGATGCGGGATTATTTCTTACTTTGTAAATGAGGGAAAATGCTTAGCTCTAAAATTGCAAGTTAACATTTTAGGGAAAAGAATATACCAGAACATGTATGCACACAGTGTTTTAGCCAGCTTTTTTGCTGCTGTGACTAAAAGCATAAATGTATTTAAAGGTTCACAGTTTCCGAGGTCTCAGTCCATAGGCTCCATTCCTCAGGGCTCCAGGTGAGGAAGGACATCATGGAGGAAGAGTGTGGTGGAGGGAAGCAGCTCACATGATGATCATAAAGCGTGGGGGGGACATTCCACTTACCAGGTGCAAAATATATATCCTAAAGGCACCCCCCGCCCCTGGGACCTACCTCCTCTAGCCACACCTTACCTGCTTTCAGGTTCCACTCAGTTAATCACATCAGGGGATTAATTCAGTGATTGGGTTAAGGCTTTCACAACTCAATCATTTCTCCTCTAAACCTTCATTTCTCCTCTTCATGAGCTTTTGGGGGCCATAACACACAGTCATTCCTTAATGTAGAACTCCAATCTCCTACACTTGACGTGGAGAGGTTAGCTTTAAACAGGTGTTTCTCCCTCGGGAAGGGGAAGGTTGGGGAAGGTGGAGCTGGAGCATGGTGGTTGGCTGTCAGGAAGCCATATGTAAATATAGAGGATCAATGTAGGGGCTAGCTCAAAGCTGTCCACGCCATTTCCATATTAAAAATTAGTGCATTTGGGCTGGGGATATAGCTCAGTTGGTAGAGTACTTGTCTCACATGCATAAGGCCATGGGTTCGACCCCTGGCGCACGTACACTCACACACACACACACACACACACACACACACACACTCACACAAATCATCAGTGCATTCAGACAGGTCAGTCGGATCTGCCAGACTGTGGGTAACATTAAGACCACCCTCTATGCCCTTTGCCCTACTTCCTAGCTCCACAGATAAATGTTCTGAGCAAGATACCTTTCCAACAAAGACCAGGCTGTTTTGTTCAAGACGGAATATATCTTTTTGTTGTTGTTGTTTGTTTGTTTTGTTTAAAGGATTCTGTTTTGTTGTTTTGTTTTATTTTGGCTTTTAGAGCTAAGATATTGAGATGGGAGCAATTTGAAGAATTCAAATTGGACTCAGTTTTCTCATAAGTGCACGTAGCCATATAGCTACTACCAGAATCAAGTTTTCTTGTGTCTTTTTGTAGTCCATATCCTCCCAAATTCCTGGCTCTGGGTATCATGGGTCTACTGTCTGTCCCTATCATTTTGTCTAGAATTTCAAGTAAATGGAATCTTGTAGCAGTGGCTTTTAAATCTGGCTTTTGAGATTCATCTGTGTTGTTTCATGCAGCAGTTACCATATTATGCGTACCCCTTTTTATTGCAGAAAATGGCATGTGTGATGTGTTGTACAAATATACCACAATTTCCTTACCCATTTGTTAGCTGAAGGATATTTTGGCAACTTCCTATTTGGGGTATTATGAATAAAGTTGCTGTAAACATGCAAGTTGTTGTGTGGACACACATTTTTATTTTTCTTAGGAGGTGGCTGGGTTTCATAGTGAGAGCATATTAACTTTATAAGACACTGTCAAACTTGTTTCCGTTTGTGACAGGTCGTGCTACATTCCCATGGGCAATTACAATGTGTGAGAATTACAGCAGCTCCACATCTTTATTAAAACTTGGTATAGTCAGTATGCTAAACTTCAGCTATTCTAGTGTTTTTAAAAATTATTTATTTATTTATTTGTTTGTTTGTTTGTTTTGAAGTACTGGGGATCAAACCTGAGGCCTTGCAGGTGCTAGGCAGGTGTTCTATAACTGGGCTAAACTCAGAGCCCCTATATTAGTGATATTCTTCTATATTTTATGTTGTGTGTTTAGTAGTTCCTCCATTTTGTTGCGGAGTAATATTCCATATACCTTTGTTTGATGATTGAAGGACATTTTTAGTCATTGAAGGGTTGTTTCCAGTTCCTAATGGTTATGAATGGTGCTATTAAAATGTTGGGTTTTTTTTTTGTGTGTGGTATTGAGGATTGAACCTGGCGCCTTCCACATGCTAGGCAAGTGTTCTACCACTGAGCTATATCCCCAACCCTCTTTATTTTTCAGTTTGAGACAGGCTCTTGTGAAGTTACTTAGGGCCTTGTTAAGTTGCTGAGGCTCCCTTGAACTGTGATCCTCCTGCTTCAGCCTCCCGAGTTCCTGGGATTCCAGGCATCCACTAATCACACCAGGCATAGCATACTTGGGTTTAAATTACTTTTAATATTTTCTTCTTAAAAAATGGTATGCTGTATCACTGAGCTACATCTCAGTGCCTTTTTAAATTTTTAATTTTGAGAGCAGGTCTCACAAAGTTACCCTCGCTGGCCTTGAATTCGCAATCCTCTTGCCTTAGCCTCCCAAGTAGCTAGGATTACAGTGTGCACCACCACACCCAGCTCCGCTTCCCTTTTAATTGTAACTTTTGTCTTTAAATCACATTTATCTTCCTGCATTTTACCATATGCAATTAAAAGTAGTCACACAACTCCTTCAATATTTTCTTAGATATTTCTTTCACCTGATATCATAGTTCCTTGCACTTAAAATTTGCCTTCCACAAAAACCCTTGATTTTGTATATAATGTAGCCAAGTTCTTTCTCAATTTATATAATGTACTTTACTCCAGTTTCCAATAATATTTACCTTATTTTATTCTGAGAACTCATCTCAGGTACATCTTTCTATCAATATCATGATCATGGCCACTTAAGTAATCTCTAAGAAGATTCAGACCGGCCCTGCATTTCTTTCTTTCTCCTTTTTTTTTTTTTTTTTTTTTGTGTGTGTGTGTGTGTGTGGAGTGGGTACTGAGGATGAACTCAGAAGCTCTCCACCAACTGAGCACATCCCCAGCCCTATTTTGTATTTTTATTTAGAGACAGGTCTCACTGAGTAGCTTAGTGCCTCACTTTTGCTGAGACTGGCTTTGAACTCAGGATCCTCTTGTCTCAGCCTCCCCAGCTGCTGAAATTATGGGAGTGTGTCACTGTACCCGGCTCCTGCCCTGCACTTCTTCCAGTCTCTACTCATCACCTAGTTCCAAAGCCACTTCCACATTTTCAAGTATTCTTTATAACAAGAATCCAACTTGTGGTGCTGATTTTCTGACTTAGCTTGTGTGTGTTTCCTGGTGCTGAGAATTGAACTCTGGGCCTTGTGCATGCCAGGCAAGAGCTCTTCCTCTGAGCTATGCCCCAGTCCCTGTGTTCGCCTCTGTTGTGCTGCTACAGTATGATACAACATCTTGGGTAATTTCTAAAGGAGAGATTTTTTTTTTTTTAAATTTCTTTTTTTTTTTTTTTTCCTGGAGGCTGGGAGGTCCAAGAAGCCATATCTGGCCAGGGCTGTGGTTTCACCATCCCATGGCAGAAGGTAGAAAGGCAGGAGAGCATTAGAGACAGGGAGGGGTCTGAGACCACTCCAAGGGTCACTTATCTACTTCCCCAATGTTGACGTTAATCCACTCAAAATATTAGAACACTCACGACCTTATCCTCGCTTCTAGTTCCCACCTCTCACACTTGTTGCTTTGAGAATGAAGATCCCACCACGTGGGGCTGGGGAGGTGGCTCCGTGGTCGAGCGCTTGCCACTATGCACAAGGCTGTGGGGCCTGTCGCAGCACTGGAGAAGAAAAATTTAAAAATACAAACGCGTCAATCTTTACGAGGATTATGAAAGTCAGTCCTGTTTTCCAGGTGGGGGATCTGGGTCTCAGGAGGGGCACCCGTTAATGAGAACCTAGACCCTCGTGAACAGTGCAAAGCCAGTCCTCATCTTGAAAGCCCGCCGCTGCGCTCCAGGCTCCTCTTCAGCGCCACCCTCACCTCCTTGTTGCGCAGAGTGTACACCACGGGGTTGAGCAGCGGCGTCACCACCGTGTAGAACACAGCCACCAGGCGGTCCCGGGCGGGGTTCGCCCCAGAGTCGGGCCGCAGGTAGATGATGGAGGCGCAGCCAAAATGCACCACGACCACCGTGAGGTGCGCGGCGCAGGTGGAGAAGGCTCTGCGCCGGCCGGCGGCCGAGCGGATCCGCAGGATGGCCGCCACGATGAAGGCGTAGGACAGGAGGATGAGGAGGAAGGAGAAGAGCACCACCAGCACGCTCAGGAAGAAGATGCCCAGCGCCCTGTGCGCACTGTCTGCGCAGCTGAGCTGCAGCACCGGGGCGATGTCGCAGAAGAAGTGCTCCACGCGGCCTCCGCGGCAGAAGGGCGAGGAGAAGATCATGCAGGTCTCGAYCAAGGCCACCGAGAACCCAGAGCAGAAAACCAAGGCTCCCAGGCAGAGGCAAACGGTGGGTCTCATGATCACTGAGTAGCGCAGGGGATGACAGATGGCCACGTACCGGTCGTAACCCATCAGGGTAAGGAGGAAGCAGTKGYTRCAWCCMARRMCCAGGAAGAAGAACATCTGAGCCCGACAGCCCGAGATGGAGATGGCCTGGCTCTCCATCAGCAGGTGGGCCAGCATGTTGGGGATGGTGACCAGCGTGTAACAGGTCTCAGAGAGGGACAGCACCGCCAGGAAGCGGTACATGGGTGTGTGGAGCGTTCGATCCACATGGATGATGGTGATGATGGTGACGTTGCCACTGAGGGTGACCAGGTAGGTGAGGAGGAACAACGCGAAGAGTGTGGTCCTCAGGTGCGGAAGGTTGGAGAATCCCACCAGCACGAAYTCTGTCACTAKCCATGTCCCATTTCCCCTCTGCTTCTCKGGAGCCTGGGAAGAGAGGACAGTAAATGCACTAAGTAAGCAGTAAGTAGAGGAGTCTGCTTGGCCTCAGGTCTACTGGGGTAGCAGAGTCATCCCTGTTTATAAGGATTCAAGAGTAAGAGTGAATAGTTTCTGGGCATAGTGGTGCATGCTTGAAATTCCAGTGACTTGGGAGGCTGAGACAGGAGACTCTCAAGTTCCAGGCCAGCCTCACAGCTTAGCAAGTCCCTCTAGGGGGAAAAAAGGTAAATAGTTCATGTGGGAGTCATCCAACAAACCAGAAAAGAGAAGTGGAAGGGAGACAAGCAGTGTTATCAAGGAAATGACCTCTTGGGGCAAGTGGAATCTAAGGTGACCTGTGGCTCCTGAGAAGGTTGAGGAACACACAGCTCACTGTTAGCCCACCCGAGGGGTGAGGGGCGAGGGGGTTCATGCATGATCCCCACCTCCCCTTAGTCATTGGTTGAATGTTTCTCCCAGCTGATGTTCATTTCCAAGGAGGTCATTGTGTTAAATGAAATAAGCCAGGCACAGAAGGGGAAATGCTACCTGATTTCTCTCATATGTGGAGCTAAAACAATTGAATTCATACAAGCTGAGACTAAAGCTGGGTGCAGTAATGCACAGCTATAATCCCAGTGACTTGAGAAGCCAGGGCAAGGGAATTGCAAGTTCAAGGCCAGCTCAGCAATTTACCAAAACCATGTTACAAAACAAAACAAAACAACAACAACAAAAAAGGGCTGGGCATGAAGTTCAGAGGCAGAGCACCCCTGGGATCAATCCCCAGTACCCGGGGGTGGAGGATGAGAGGTTGAGGTGGCACAGAGGCTAGAATGGTGGTTGCCAGAGATGGGGAGAGTTTTGGGGAGATGTTGTTCAATGAGTGCAAATTTCATTAGGAGGAACAGTTTGAGGAGATCTATTGTACAAGATGGCCACAGTAGTCTTACAAACCCTTGAGACTGAATTGTGTGTTCTCACCACAAAAATGATAGCCACGTAAGGTAGTGCATTTGTTAATCGGCTGAATTTGGCCATTCCACATTGTATATCTATTCCAAAACATCATGATGTACACAATAAATTTATGCATTTTTACTTGTCAATTGAAATATATATATATATATATTTTAAATTTTTATTTATGTATTTATTTTTTAAGAGTAAACTGGCTTTCCGAGCTCAGTTCTGTCTCTACATCCTTTGAGACGGGGAAGGGATTGGATATTTGTGCCATCTAGTGGCCTTGGGAGTAATCTGCAAACCCAGTGACCCTTATAGGGAGAGAAAAAAATTAAATGACTGTGCACCTTAAAATATTCATCACAGCAGTCGGATGCTGGATTTTAAATTATGACTTAACTTTTTGAAAAATTAGTTGACATTTTCACTTTGGAAACATAAGTTTTAAATTTTAGTTCTGAAGAACTAAAGTGAGTAAAACAACTAAAAATGTGAAGGAGCCTCTAGATATTCTGGTTATGAAGAAAAGGCAAATGAGGATTGTGGAAGAACTTCACAGGAGAAAAGACAGTTAAAGAGGGATGCCCATTTTTCCTGAAGAGAGCAGAACCAGGAAGCAGGAAGTAGGCAGCCAGGTGGATCTAGCACTGGTGGGTAATTATTTCAGCCAGGGCTGGAGAATGACTATTCTGGCTTTGTGGGCTGCCCAATCTTTGTTTCAGCTCGGTCACTAAGTGTACAGGCAGCCATACTATGTTATGGAAATGAGTTTCAATCAAGCTTTATTTTTATGAAAAGTCAGGGAGCTGAATTTGGCAGTCATACTGTGCTAAGCCCCAATCTAGCACAAGTAAACAGGGACATTAAACTTAGGAGGAACTTCAGTCAGATTCTCTGAGGAATTCATGTCATGAAAAACTCCAAAGCCTGACTTTTAAAAAAAAAATTTGAGATGAGGGTCTCATTATGTTGCCCAGGCTGACCTCCAACTCCTGTGCTCCAGTGATCCACTTTGCCTCAGCCTCTTGAATAGCTTGTACCATGGGTCCATGCCTGGCTCAAAGACTGATTTTAAAGGTTTTAAACTTTATTTTCCAATACTGGGGATCAAATCCAGGGCCTCATGCATGCTGGGCCAGTTGCCTACCAATGAGCCATATCCTCAACATTTTTTTTTTTTTTTTTTTTTTAGGTACCAGGATTGAACTAAGGTGCACTCAACCACTGAGCCACATCCCCAGTCCTATTTTATTTTATAATAAAATAAATGTATTTTATTTAGAGACAGGGTCTCACTGAGTTGCTTAGCGCCTCGCTTTTGCTGAGGCTGGCTTTGAACTCTGGATCCTCCTGCCTCCTGAGCCGCTGAGATTATAGGCCCAGCTCTCCTCAACATTTTTAGTTTTGTATTTGCTCACTTGCCCAGGCTGGCCTCAAACTTGTGATCCTCCTGTCTCAGCCTCCCAAGTAGCTGGGATTACAGGTGTGTACACCACCACAACTGGCATAAATCTTCAGATAATAAAGGCAGTGATACTAAAACCAAAACAAATACACAAAACTGAATAAACAGAACACATAAACAAACAAACAAAAACACCCAGGGTCACTCTCCACATTTGCAGAGTTCAAATGAAGGCCCATATGCCATGGGACTGAATATTTAAAGCTAAAAATAAAGCTAGTCCAGTGCACTTGTAGTCCCAGCTACTTGGGAGTCTATGACAGGAAGATTGATTGATCCCAGGAGTTTGAGGTTAGCCTGGCAACATAAGTGAGACCTGGTCTCAAAATTGATCAATCAATCAATCAAACAATCTCATATGAAACATGTTTGAACTCCCTACATTGAAAAACATTTTTATAATAACCAAATGCCAGATTCAAATATGGAGTTCCTGGTCTCTTCAGAGATCCACAGCAGAAGACGGTGGTGGTATAGGAAGCACCCTGAGCCTGTTTCTGACCCATGGCCTCTCCCCTTCTCTTTCCACCCCAGACTCCAGCCAGCACTCCAGGGGCCTCACATGTACCGTTCAGGCAACTACAGGATGCATCCTCCAGCAGCAGCCATTCCCTGGCCACATCCAGGGCACACACACCAGCAGTGTGGGCCACGGCAGAGGGATGGACCCAGGCAAGGGGTGCACTCTCAGACCTGATGGTGGCTGGCAGCCACCTAAGCATGGAATTGCGGGGTTCTATGCAGCATTGACTACACAGGCGTGTAAGCTCAAGGTCAACACATACTCTTGGCTTTGTGGAAACTGTGTACCTTGGGGTGGGATAGGACAGAAGAGAGTCAGAGTTGAGTGCCTAGAAGCATCTCTAGCAGGGCAGAGGCCCCTGCTGCCCAAGGCTAACAGTAGGCAAGTGGAAAATGCAAACGTTAGATACCATTTGGAGGAAAGATATTTAGTTTTGTGATAATCAAAGAAATGCAAGTTGAAGCAAGATAGCTTGTTCTGGGGCTGTGGTTGTAGCTCAGGGGTAGAGCGGTTGCCTAGCATGTGTGAGGCACTGGGTTTGATTTTCAGCATCACATAAAAATAAATAAATAAAATGAAGGTACTGTGTTCATCTACAACTAAATTTTTAAAAAAATATTTTTTTGGAGTTGTAGATGGGCAGAATGCCTTTATTTATTTATTTATTTATTGAGAGAGAATTTTTAATATTCATTTTTTTTTTTTTTAGTTTTGAGCAGACACMACATCTTTGTTTGTATGTGGTGCTGAGGATCGAACCTGGGCCGCACGCATGCCAGGTGAGCGAGCTACCTCTTGAGCCACATCCCCAGCCCTAAAATTTTTTTTTTTTAAAAGATAGCTTGTTCTTCAGAATTAAACCTAAGGGTTATTATAGGACCCAGTATCACCACTCCTCAGTATAGACCAAAAAAAAAAAACAATTGAAGACAGTTTTTTGAACAAGAACTTCCACACAGATGTTTATAGCAGCACCACTCACAAGCACCTCGCTGGTAGAAATGACCCAAATGTCCATCAGCTGGTGAATGGATAAGCAAATGGGCGATCCTAAAATGAAGTATGATCATTTCCATAAAACCATAATGTTCTAATACCTGTCACAACTCAACAGAAATGAGATGCTCCGTGAGAGAAGCAGGACACCAAAAGCCACATATTGCATGATGACTTCATGTGCAAGTTATATATGGGGACCTTTGGGAGTCAGGAGGATTTTCAACAGCCGAGTGGTGCTTCTTGGAGAATCAGGACCAGGCTGATGGGGTCTGAGCTTTTCGTTGTCATATAGGAAAGGGATGCTTTATGTATTCTCGCAGCCTCCCTTCAGGAATCAATCAGCCCCGCTCGAGCATCTTAAAGCAGGGGATTGAGTAGAAAAGCTCCTTCGGTACATACTCCTACATCACGTAGGCGTGAACTCTACTACAATATTCCAGGCTTCACTTGCTCCCCTTCAGGGATGGGGAGGTCACTCCCTGGGAAAACAACCCCATGACATAAAGCAGAAATCCTGTGCTCAGCAGAAACCTCCAGTAACGGGCAAGTTTGGGCTCTGCGATCAGACAGGCCTGGGTATGAATACTGGTGCCTTCTGGAACTCGGTGCAGTCTGAGTTTGAACAGTTGCCTCTGCCCCTGTGAGCCCCATCTGTGAGAGCAGAGATTGATCCTGTGAAATCAGACAATATTCAGGAAGATGCCCTGAAAAGTGAATCATCATCATCATCATCATCATCATCATCATCATCATCATTTTGCAGTCCTGGGGTAGAGCTAACAGCAGTCTTCCACTGAATTATACCCCCAGCTCTCTTTATCTATCTATTTTTTATTTTGAGACAGTCTCACTATTTTACTCAGGCTGGTATTGAACTTTCAGCGCTCCTGATTTCCTAGTGGCTGGGATACAGGTGCTATGAATTTTTTTTTTTTTTGCTCTCTGACAAAAAAAATAATAGATAATAGAAGAATAATAGAAGAATAATAATATAAGAATAGCTGGGCTTTTAATTTTCTTCTTTGCACCGCTGGAGAAGCAGGGAATAGAAGG